CTCTGCGGCAGTTGCTGATTGCCTCCTGCGAACCTTACTAACCTGGGTTTAGGGTTTAGGGTTTAGGGTTTGGGGTTTGGGGTTTAGGGTTTGGGGTTTAGGGTTTAGGGTTCGGGGGTTTAGGGGTTTAGGGTTCAGGGGTTTGGGGTTTAGGGTTGAGGGTTTCTGAAGTGAGAAAGTTGCTTCGGCAAGGGGATGGCGGGCGTGGGGTTAGGATTTAGGTTCTGGGTTTGGGGTTTAGGCTTCAGGCTTGAAGTTTGGGGTTAATGTAAGGGCCTTAATAAATAGAATAAGGTTTCGGGGTCCTTTACAGTATAATCATAATAATAACACCAAAATAATATAGGTAATTAGTGAGGCCTGTATAGTACATAAGGTTTAGGGTGTAGGGTTAGGGTTTAGAGTTTCGGGGGCTTAGGGTGGAGGGTTAGGGTTTACAGGGCTTGGTAACGCTCAGAGTTGCCAGCGTCATGAGGGTTTGGGATGGGACCGTGAAGCCTAAAGTCCTCTGCAGATTCCGGAGTTGACGCGGTAAGCTCCTGAAATCAAAAGACATTGAGATAGAACCCTGTGGAGTAAAGGATTTTGGGTTTAGGGTTTGCTGCTCCCTCTCAAGAGGGCTTAGGGGTTTAGGGCTTTAGGGTTTTAGGGTTTTAGGGTTTTAGGGGATATCAACAATTCCGAGCCCTATGTTATTCTATCGGAAGTCTACATCGATTGGGGCCCAGGCAAATGCGCATGATGCTGCAGCGACCACACGGCATCCGTGTGGCCAATCAGCTCGCCACGTCTCAGGATGCCTGTGCTGACACCGTTCGGTTTAGGGTTTAGGGTTTAACCCTAAACCCTCTTGAGAGGGAGCACCAAATCCTAAATCCCAAATCGTCAAATTACTCCACAGGGTTCTATCTATGTTCGGGTTATAATACAAACCCAAACCCCTAAACCCTAAAACCTAAACCCTAAAGCCTAAAACCCTGAACCCTAAATCCCTAGACCCTAAATCCCTAAACCCTAAAAGCCTAGCGCCCTAGAGAAAGAGGTCCTTCGGCTTCCAGCTACCTCCTTCGTGGACCGTGGTCCCTTGTTGGATAGCCTCTCTGATGACACGCGTACAGAACCGCTGCAGACCTCCAGAACCCTGATGTACAACCCTTGTCGCACTCACAAGACTACACCAAGATCAACTGCCAAATTCAATTATGCCTTCTTGGGTCGTGAAGCCCAGCGTATTATCAACGCCGTAAAACCCTTACAGAACCTGTTAGAAGGCCTAGCTATTCGAACCTTGGACCATTAGGGTTAGTTCTTACACAGACGATGGCGAAAGCGTTCCCGTCCTTCCCCACTTTCTGGTAGCAGCCAAGCGCGGATGGTGCTATCCTTGACAGGTGGCGCATGAAATGTCATTGCAGTACTAGGAACAATGACAATATACCTTTTTAATTGCACCAGTCATGCTACTACTGCTACTCCTCTCCTCCTCCTCCTCCTCCCCCCCCTACCAGCACTGCGAGTACTACCACAGTTTAATTAATACTCTTTTATTGTTGTGACTATGCTGCGTAACAACGAGGATTCTGATTGACACTGCCTGGTTCACGGTTGCCATTACGATCGTTATCATTATTACTGTGGCGGTTCGTACGGAGGTAGAACCAGTGTTGCTATGGACTACTACTACTACTACTACTACTACTACTACTACTACTACTTGTCCGAACAATGCTTCTGTTGGCTACGGTTGTCATGACTGTCATGTATCACCGTTAACCACCTAACTTTTACCGCGACAGTGAAACAGGACTATGGTTTTTGGATTTAGCGGAAGCAGTAAAATATTGCGAGCGTCCAGATAAGTTGGATATGCTTCGGGATTAACAAATGGGCCTTACAGCCTGCTCGAGTGCAAGCTCAAGAGATTCATGTTGGGGCCTTAATAAATAGAAGATGGCTTTGGGGGTTCCTTACTATAATTACAGGATAATATACCCCAAACCCTATTCTAATTATAAGGCCCCTACATTAACGACATTCCTGTCAACCGAGCTTCGGCTTGGGGTGTCACGGCTTGCATTTAAGCATCTTATGCACGGCTTATGCTTCCAGCGCTCAAGCTTACTGTAGAGTTCGGCGATTGCCAGCCCAAAGCACAAATGGAATTCACAACACTACCCCAAGTCCTAGACTTATAAACATCACACAGAAAGGCAAAGTTCTCTCAGATCCACATACGCCAAGTTCCAATACCAACATGCTGGAACATACCCTAAACATCATTGGCAAGCCATGTGTGATTTACGGTATATGACATGTGCCTGTACTGGGCCCTTCACCACTGCAAACACAACGCCGCTTGTCCGGGGCAAGTACCATGCCGGCGCTGAAAAGGGTACGGTCCTGCACCGGTAGATACCTATAGTTTCCATTGTCGTTCCGTTTATTTGGTTTGGCCAACTTTATTATATGATTGGATCCTAACCATATAATTGGTGAAACCAAAAACAGGAACTACAATGGAGACTCTAGATAAAACTTACATGCAGTCTGCGGTGGAAGGCCGACCGGTTTGCGTAAGGGCTTCAGTTTGACATAGAGGCCTTCATAATTAGAATAGGGTTTGGGGGTATACAATTAATTTTAGGAGGCCCCAAAACCCTATTCTAATTATTAAGGCCCTACATTAAGCCTCCTAAGCCCTAAACCCCCAAACCTAGGGCTTTGGCGTTTGGGGTGTTGCGATTCGGGGGGAGGCCCCATCTCCCAGACTTTTGAGATCTTTGACGAGATTGGGGTTAAGGGTTAGGGTCTATTCTCAGAAGCCAGAAAGCCTACAAATTCAAGAAACAAGGCTGCAAACAAGGTGGCTGCTGTCATATAACCCATTACAGCCCATCAGATCGAAGAAACCTCATGTGCCACAGAAATGTACAGTCCCTACAAAACTCCTCAGCAAAGACCTACACACCCCAGAAAGACCCTCCAAACACCCCAGATGTACAATACATCGCTGTTAGAGAAAGACCCAATAAACAAGACCCTCAAACCTAAACCTTAAGACCCCAAACCTAAACGCGAATCCTGACCTAAACCCTAAACCCTAAACCCCTAAACCCCTAAACCCCTAAACCTCTAAACCCTAAACCCTAAACCCCTAAACCCCAAAACCCTAAACCCTGAGACTCCCGACCTAAACGCGAACCCTGACCATCCTGGGGACGGAAGGCCAAAGTGAAGACCGGCGCGCTGTGGCCGCGGAGCTGCGGATGGCAGACAAGCTGGGTGGTAGGGTTAGGGTTTTAGGGTTTAGGGTTTAGGGTTTAGGGTTTAGGATTTAGGATTTAGGGTTTAGGGTTTAGGGTTTAGGGTTTGGGGTTTAGGGTTTGGTTAGAAACACCGGGAACCCTGAGGGTCCAAAGTAGGAGTTAGGATTAGGGGAACCCTTGGGGATATAGACCCTCTCAGTAAGGTCCCTTTCAAGAGAACCATAAGTAGGATTAAGAAGGGTCCTTACCTAGGACAAAGGACCCAATAATTAGGTACTTAGGTTTGGGATAGTGGTTTTGTAGATTAGTATTTTGGAAAGTGATTATATACTAGGTACTTGACCCTTTGGGGAATGTGAGGAGTTTGAGGGATTTTGATGATTAGGGATTTTGGTGATTTAGGGCTTTGATCAGAAAGCAGCATTCCAAGCCTGGACAAGTGAGGGCAGGTTTGTCCCGTCTTTCCCAGCCGAAGCCGTAGCACAGTGACTGCCCCTGCGTACTCGGCACTAAGCCAGCACATCAGTGTTATACCCAACCAAAAATAACCCTAAACCCTAAATCCTAAACCCTATAACTCAACACTGCCATTTCGGGCCTCAGTGCTATGTCGTCTCGTCGGCCCACCCCTTGACAGTACGAGACGCAAGCGCCTGGGGCGTTCGGGCAGCGCTGGCCGCGCTGAACGACTTCGATTCCATGAAAGTCCAACTCGCGGCGTGCACTGGCTTTGCAGCACTCATCAAGTCCCTTGAGGCTGGCCTGGTCACTCTGATCTTGCATGGGCTTGACCAAGTCACGGCATCGCTCCGCAACCAGCCCATGTGTGTGCGGTAGAACTGGTTTACGGTATGGAGTTGAGAGATTTGCAGGGTTTACAAGGATTTACGGATAGGGGTGAGGAATCTGATTCGTTAGGATTTGAAAGTGAGGAGAGAACCGTCTCGAATGTGGTCATGGGAACAATGTGTCCCTTAAGGGGCGGAGTTGAGCTGTTCAAGTGTTCGGGCGCAGAGATTTAAACAGCGTCTTTCTACCCTGGGCCCTAAACCCTGAACCCGCAACGTGGCTCCTTTCTCCACTCGAGCCGTAACGGGTCCGCTCCATCTGAGAGGTTTAGGGATTCAGGGTGTAGGGAACCCTACATCCGACTACACTGCATCCGGTGCCCGAATGGCCACAAGCTGCAAACCCGCCATATACTGTAATATAAGGGCCTTAATAATTAGAATAGTTTTTTGGGGGCTTTGACGGGCTCCTTATTATAATTGTAATATAACAGACCCCAAAAGCCTAGTCTAATTATTAAAGCCGCCCCCCTCGCCCTGAAAAGCCCTGTCCTTTCACCCCAAAAACCTTGGAACTTGAGACCTTCCAGCATAAACCCTAGACCCTGAACCCTAAACTTAGGGTTAGGGTCTAGGGGCTTAGTGTTTAGGGTTTAGGGCCTAAACCCTACACCCTAAACCCCTCAACGGCCCTGTACCCTGAGCACTAAAGCCACCGTCATCTCCCTGTCCAGCATTATGCTTGTGACTAGTGAATTGGCTTCTACAACTACTACTACCACTACTACTACTACTACTACTACTACTACTACTACTACTACTACTACTTTTACTTGACTAATACTTGATCTATTTCTCTAAACCCTAAACCCAAACCCCTTAAGGGCAGGGCTGCGGCATAGGGCTCCAGCTCATCCGCATCTGGCATCCTGGCCCCGGTGGTGCGGATCTAACCTAATGGCCTTGAGAAGAGCTCCTTCCCAAAGAGCTAAATCATCACAGCAACTCCTGATATAGAAAGCCTATATTCTACTAGTAGTTATATAGGTATAGGTGCCGTAGGACTCTTTGGGCTTTGAGGGTTCTATGAGGGATACTATCAGTGTTCGTTCACTTCATTCTGGTGTCTAAGGGTTTAACGTTCATGTTGAGTTTGGGCTGCAGGTATGAGGACTTATCGGGAAATTTCAGGTCAACCACAATATCGTAGCCACACCCCGAAACCCTAAACCCCTAAACCCTGAACCTAAAGCCCCTGAACCCCAAACCCCTAAACCCTAAACCTTAAGCCCTAAACCCCAAACCCCTAAACCCTAAACCTTAAACGCCTAAAAATCCTGAACCCGCGTAAAACCACCTTAAATTTCAGAGCCCTGAAAGTACCGGCGAGCTCGGCCCCGGGCTGCCAAATGCTGCTCAAGTCCCAGCACTTCACCACGACGTCCTGCGGTCTTCTAAGGTCTATAGAGACTAGGGTTTAGGGGTTTCGGGGTTTAGGGGTTTAGGGTTCTTCTGAAGTCTTTGCCTGATATCAAGCTATTATTCTACATACTTTTGGGGTCCAGGTAGGGTTTAGGGTTTAGGGTTTAGGGTTTAGGGAGGGAATTAGGGATTTAGGGTCCAGGGTGTCGGAATCTAGGGCCGGGGGGAGATCGGGGGGTTCTTTTACGTCGTGCGCTGGTCGGGGTTTAGGCTTTCGGGATCAGGGGTTTAGGGGTTTAGGGTATAGGGTTTAGGGGTTTAGGCTTTCGGAATCTGGGGTTCAGAGGTTTGAGGAATCTTATACCGCAATCTACCACCACCAACGGGTTTCTGTTTGGGTTTGAGGATTTTGGGGTTTGAAAGGTTCAAGGGTGAAGGGCTTCAGGGCTTGGGAGTGGGTGTGTAAGGGGTTCTGAACCTTAAACTACCAGAAGCTTCTCTTGTTGCAGGATCCAGGTTACCCAAAGGCCCCATAGTGGTTCCTTTTTGGGATTACCTAATGGGGTTCTATATATGAACCCCAAAAAGGAACTACTTTAGGGCCTCTGGGTAGGCACTAAGAACCTACAATCTGCAAGCAAGTAGGTCATGATGCTTTTTGCAGGCCTTGGATGGTGGGGCTTAGGATTAAGGTCTACTTTGGGCTTAACGAGCGATGGGCACTCCCCAGTCCGGGTTAGGGTTTCGGGGGTTTCGGGTTTTGGGGTAAGGGTTTCAGAACTCGGGGCACAAGAAAAAGCTATAGTTGGACTAACATAGGCTAGGCGCCTCAATAATTACCTATATTATTTTGGGGGTTCCTTACTATAATGATACCACAAAGGACCCCCAAACCCTATTTTAATTATTATAAGGCCTTCTTATTATCATTATAATCATACTATAAAGGACCCCCAAGCCCTGTTTTGATTAGTAAAGCCTCCATATGGGTAGTTGTCAAAATTATGGTTCCTTTTGGGGTACCCTAAATAATAGGTGCCGTATTATAATAAGGACCCAAAAAGGGACCATAATTTTGACAACCACCCATATAGTAGAGTGTAGGGTTTCTATATATTAGGCATTACTACTATTATTTAAGAATATCCCCCATAACAGTACATAATGTAGGGGCCTTAATAATTAGAATAGGGTTTTGGGGGTTCCTTATTGTAACTACAGTATAATGGGCCCCAAACCCTATTCTAATTAGTAAGGCTCTTGTAGTAGGACCCTTTGGGTTTGGGCAGGGCTGATACAGGGGCTCAGGGTTTCCCACCTCGCCGCACGAGACCAGCAGAGAGTTCTTGTCGTCGAGGAAGACCTCATTCCCAAGCAAGGGCCGTGGTATTCTAGGGGCCTTAATATTTAGAATAAGGCTTTGGGGTATACTATGCTATAACTCTAGTAAGGAACCCCCATAGCGTACTACTTGGAAATCAGGTTTTGGGGGCATATTAGACTATAACTCTAATAAGGAATCCCCTAGATGACACCCTACGAAACCTCAGGGTTTAGGGCTGCAGGGTTCCAGGGTTCAGGGTTTCGGGGCTTTAGGGGTTCAGGGTGTAGGGGTTTAGGGTTTAGGGGTTTAGGGTTTAGGGTTTAGGGTTTAGGGTTTGGGGGTTTAGGGTTTGGGAGTTTCGGGTTTTTTAGGGGTTAGGGAACCTGAGGAGTTAGGAGATATAGGAGCTTCAGGGGGTTTAGGGTTTAGGGTTTAGGGTTTAGGGTTTAGGGTTTAGGGTTTAGGGTTTAGGGGCTTGATTAGAGCTTTGAGGTACACAAAACTTTTAAGTCTTTAGGGGTTTAGGATTTAGAGTCGAAGTCAAAGGGACGACTAATACAAAGCGCTCAGGCCACTAGACCAGCTTAGAACAGCGCTCAACAGAACGTTTCTGAATACGTCATGTTGGATGTAACACCTCCTACCACTTCCGGAAATTCAACTCTATGCTCAGCATCCGACAATAGAAGATAAGGCCACAAAAAAGGAACTACCGTCATGGTCATGTGTGCAAGCTAGTGGTCAGAATCAGTAGCCACGCTCTATCCCTTATACCCACCCCCCTAGACTCATGCACTAACATGCCCCAAAAAGCCTGCTCGAATTCTGAAAGCCCTACTTAGTTAGAACAAATATAGGACCCTTGAAGGAACCCTAATATAGGACCTTGATAAATTACCTATACTGTTTTTTTGGGGAGGGGCTCCTTAACATAATATACCCCAAGACCCTATTCTAATTATTACCCTAAACCCTTACAGCAGCCCTTATAGGAACCCTTTTAAAAGAAACCCTATTCTAACTCTTAAGGCCCCTATAGTACCAAATATGCAAGGCCTCCATTTTCTCTTGCGATCCCTCAACCCTAAACCCTAAACCCTCAACCCTAAGCCCTAAACCCTCAACCCTAAACCCTCAACCCCAAGCCCTAAACCCTCAACCCTAAACCCTAAACCCTCAACCCCAAGCCCTAAACCCTCAACCCTAAACCCTAAACCCTCAACCCCAAGCCCTAAACCCTCAACCCCAAGCCCTAAACCCTCAACC